CCCTAACCCACCTACCCTAACCCTAACCCTAACCCTTACCTAACCCTACCCTAACCCTAACCCTAACCCTAACCCTAACCCCTTACCCTAACCCTAACCCTAACCCTAACCCTAACCCTAACCCTAACCCTTACCCTAACCCTAACCCTAACCCTAACCCTAACCCTAACCCCTAACCCTAACCCTAACCCTAACCCTAACCCTACCCTACCCTAACCCTTACCCTAACCCTAACCCTAACCCTAACCCTAACCCTAACCCTAACCCTAACCCTAACCCTAACCCTAACCCTAACCCTAACCCTAACCCTTACCCTTACCCTAACCCTAACCCTAACCCTAACCCTAACCCTAACCCTAACCCTAACCCTAACCCTAACCCTTACCCTAACCCTAACCCTAACCCTAACCCTAACCCTAACCCTAACCCTAACCCTAACCCTAACCCTAACCCTAACCCTAACCCTAACCCTAACCCTACCCTAACCCTAACCCTAACCCTAACCCTAACCCTAACCCTAACCCTAACCCTAACCCTAACCCTAACCCTAACCCTAACCCTAACCCTTACCCTAACCCTAACCCTTACCCTAACCCTTACCCTAACCCTAACCCCTAACCCTAACCCTAACCCCCCTTACCCTAACCCTTACCCTTACCCTAACCCTAACCCTAACCCTACCCTACCCTACCAACCCTAACCCTAACCCTACCCTAACCCTAACCCTACCCTAACCCTAACCCTAACCCTAACCCTAACCCTAACCCTAACCCTAACCCTAACCCTAACCCTAACCCTAACCCTTACCCTAACCCTAACCCCTAACCCTAACCCTAACCCTTACCCTACCCTAACCCTAACCTAACCCTAACCCTAACCCTAACCCTACCCCCCTTACCCTAACCCTAACCCTAACCCTAACCCTAACCCTAACCCTAACCCTAAAGATTATGTACAAATTCTTTCGCATTTTCTGTTTTTTGATGTCGTTTTGGAGCTGGTGAACAAATAAACCCTCCAACACTTAAAATGTAGTCTTAGCAAACCATTTCTTTAAAGATGCTAACACAACACTAGAGAAGACAAAGAACAAGAGGAACATGCAGCACAAAGGGAAACACATCATTGTATTCCAGTCTTTATGACAGCAGCAACAAGTTTTTATTCAGTGATTAATATTTTCTCTACAAAGTTGTGACAAATCAGAAGCTCACATTCAAAGGTTATCGTGTTTTTTTCTAAAGTGGAAGAAAACAGTCACAAATAAATCAATAAATATTGTTTTTTAAATACACATCATCAAACAACATTCTCAAAGTACATATGTGAGAGAAATTATCTATCTAAAGTAACGTTGTATTTTTCAGCCCATCTCTCCGTCTGCAGCTCGTTCATCCAACATACAACAACAGGCTGTGAGTCTCAGTTATCCTGGGGTTTGTGATGCTGTGGCTGTGCTAACCCAGGTGGAGCTTCAGGTGGAGCTTCAGCTGTTCACAGTGTTGGCAGCGTTCAAGAGGGAGGAGAACAAAGAGTCTGGTCTTTGTTCAGCACATCTGGATGATCTAACTCTGCCACCTGTCAGACACGATGGATACAGTCAGTTTAAGGGTCATCAAAATGTCATCTTCCTGTGTTCCTTTTTTTTTACCTCTCCGTTGTCCATGACCAGGATGCGATCTGCGTCTACCACAGTGTTGATGCGATGGGCGATGGTAAGCATGGTGCAGTCCTGGAAGGCTTCTTTAATTGTTGTCTGGATCAAAGAATCTGTCTCCGAATCGATGGAAGCAGTCGCCTCGTCCAAGAGAATGATCTGATGGACAACAGGACGGACAATGAAAGCAGTCCAAGAGATGGACATGGAAGGTAGAAAGCTAAGTTGACACAGGGTAGCTGGTAAATTATCACGAATGAAGAGGTCAAAAAGCTCCAGCAACACTTGTAGTATTAAGATGAACTTTATTAGACCAACATGTTTGGCCTTCATCAGGGTCATGAAATGGTCCTGAATAAATGGTAGGACAGCACAAGACACTTGGTAAGTGTTGATTTGATGACAGAGTTAACTCTCCACACACAGTAGTCAGCCATAGACACAGGAAGTGGGGAGGCAGGTGATGTAAAATGGAGAAAATCAGAAGCAGTTTTATTGGTGTTGCTGGTTTACATGTTTAGTTCGTTAATTCCTTGTGTTGTTGCTTAGTTGGTATTTATGTCTTATTTGGTAATTGTCTATCTGATTGTTTTGTATGTTTATTTATCTTAATGTTTCCTAGTTTAGTCTTTAGTGTTTCCTGTTTTTTTGTAATTTCTTATTCTTGGTGTCTCTGTACGAGTGAGTATTGTTATGTTAAGTTGAGTTCTTTGTGTCTTTGGTGTTTCTCTCTGCCTCTGTGTGTTACCCTCCATGTTGATTACCCTTCATTGTCAGTGTTGGTCTATGTCAGTTGTATCCTCCATGTCGGTGTGAGTTGTCTTCTTTCCAGTGTTTTCCTCGTGGCTTCCTGTGTTTTGATCTTTGGTGGATTTTTTCAGTTTGGACATTTAAAGAGGTACAAGAAGTAGACTTTTTGTTTAAGAAATATTTCCGCTTTGATCTGCATTTCATCTGCACTTGGGTACAGTTCCTTTTTATTATTCCTCAAACTGACAGTTGCAGCACTGAAGACAGTTGCAGCAATTTTTAGGTTTTTGTGGAAAAAGCAGTTATAAAGGAAAGTAAAAATATCTCAGGATTAGGGTGGAATCCATGTACAAACCTTGGAGTTGCGGAGTAGGGCTCTAGCCATACACATAAGCTGCCTTTCTCCAACAGAGAAGTTCTCTCCATTCTCCAGAACCTGAGCCTTCAGTTTTCCCTCCAGTCGAACGATCTGAAGAAGAAATGTTTTATTTTGATGAAACAAATCATTCCTTTTTATCTTGACACTCCATGAGAAGGGCACTGTTCATAGTTTGGTCCATCCATCACGCATAACTGAAAGCAGGGGATTCAAAGTTAACGCTGTATACCTGCGTAAAGCCTGCACTACACCACTATCTGTGTTCATGTGTTGTATATACTGACTGAATCCTTCATGTAGGTCTTCTCCAGAACTGCCCAGATCTCCTCATCTGTGTAGTTATTGAAGGGGTCGAGGTTGTACCTGCAGGCAAACACACCCTTTATCTCTGTGACTTGATGTGTGGGTGTGTGTGTGTGTGTGTGTGTGTGTGTGTGTGAGTGTGTGTGTAAAGCTCTGCAGAGTAACATGTTAGCTGCGCTTACCTGACTGTGCCAATAAACAGCACAGGATCTTGTGGGATGATTGACAATTTACTGCGCAGATCCTGCAGACCAATGGACATGATATCCACTCCATCTATCAAAATGGTTCCTGCTGCCGGCTCCACAAGCCTGAATAGAGCAACACCTATAGAAGACTTCCCTACAGACAAAAAGCAAAGTCTACCTCAGCACAGTATCCCTAATAGTTTACAGAGGAGCGTGTTTCTGCAGAACACCTGGGTATATTAATCCAACAGGTGTTGCCCAGACACAGGGCTGTCAAAGATTGTACACATTAAGATTCCTTATTCTTTGATAAAGGGTAAATGTCTCCACTTCTTTGTTTTCATTATCTCAAGATTACAACCATTAAGGTTTTTGGTTCTCTGCCATGGTTCACTCTTGTTTGCATACTTTATTCCTTGTTTTGTTGCTCTGTTTTAGTTTGTCTTTTCTAAATTCCCCCTGCGTGCATTTCCCATACCTAATGTTTGCTTTCTTATTTATTATTCATTGCCTTTTGTGTCATCTCTTCTTTAACCAGTTGCCCTTGTTTTAATTCTGCAACCAGTCTTTAGTGTTTCCTGTTTTAATTTGAAGTTCTTGTCTTACATCCTCCCTTTGTCTACGTTCCTGTTTATTTTCCTGGTGGCTCCTTGTTATTTCTCAGATTGGTATTCATGTAAAAAAACCTGCAGATTGGTATTCATGTAAAACCCCATAGATTGGTATTCATGTAAAAACGCTACAGATTGGTATTCATTTAAAAAACCTGCAGATTGGTATTCATGTAAAAATCCTGCAGATTGGTATTCATTTAAAAAACCTGCAGATTGGAATTCAGGTTAATTTCTGTTCTACTAAATCTGTCTTTAAAAAGCATAAAACAGAAATGTTTGGAGTAAAAACAATCGAGTCTTACCAGATCCTGTCCTTCCCACAATGCCTAACTTCTCTCCGGCTCGGATTGGGAAATTGAGCTTGTTGAGGACGATGGGTGTATTCTCTCTGTACCTCATCTTATAGCCCTGGAAGGTGATGGCGCCGCTTTTTGGCCACTCCTCTGGGATTTGAGCCCCCTTCATGTGTCTGGGGGCCTCAGACGTACAACCCTGTTAAGCAACATAATAACTTGTTTCAGAGAGGAGGAATTTTGGGTGGGGGGTTACAGTTAGAGTGAGGGGTTAAAGTTAGAGTGAGGGGTTACAGTTAGAGTGAGGGGTTAAAGTTAGAGTGAGGGGTTAAAGTTAGAGTGAGGGGTTAAAGTTAGAGTGAGGGGTTAAAGTTAGAGTGAGGGGTTAAAGTTAGAGTGAGGGGTTGAAGTTACAGTGAGGGGGTTAAAGTTAGAGTGAGGGGTTAAAGTTAGAGTGAGGGGTTAAAGTTAGAGTGAGGGGTTGAAGTTAGAGTGAGGGGTTGAAGTTAGAGTGAGGGGTTAAAGTTAGAGTGAGGGGTTAAAGTTAGAGTGAGGGGTTGAAGTTAGAGTGAGGGGTTGAAGTTAGAGTGAGGGGTTAAAGTTAGAGTGAGGGGTTAAAGTTAGAGTGAGGGGTTGAAGTTAGAGTGAGGGGTTAAAGTTAGAGTGAGGGGTTAAAGTTAGAGTGAGGGGGTTAAAGTTAGAGTAAGGGGTTAAAGTTAGAGTGAGGGGTTGAAGTTAGAGTAAGGGGTTGAAGTTAGAGTGAGGGGTTAAAGTTATAAGAGAGAGGGGGGTGAGGCGTGGGTTAGGGTTAGGGGGTCAGTCTCACCGTGATGTACTCCATCAGTCGTTCCACTGAGTTGAATCTGGCCTCCACTTCTGTTGCCTGCCTCACTACGAACTGAAGCATGCCCGTTAACTGGAAAACACAAAAAGAAATGTTTAGTGGTGTACCCTACCCTAACCCCTCACCCTTTTAAGAGATAAAGCACATGTAGGGGTAGGGGTTAGGGTTCACCTGTATGGTGTAGGACAAGGCCAAGCCTTTCATTGAAGGACTGATGAGCTCGTCACTGCTGAGCACGATGAGCAGAGCCACTAAAAAGGTCATTGTGGTCGCCATGAAGTCCAGCCAGAACGAGAGCCAGCGAGTCCCCGAGTGAAACAGGAGGTAATGGTTGGAGTTCAGGTCGTTCAGTGTCTTAAACCTACAACAGGAAGTCCAGGATACAGATCAGAAATCATTAGAAACTAAAGGATTGTCTTGTTGAGGATGGGGTTAGGGGGTTAGGGTTAAGAGGATCGTACCGTTGAACGTGACGCTCTCTGATGTTGTAGGCGTGGATGGTGCTGAGGCCCTGCACGGTGGACGTGGTTAGAGAGATGCAAGGAGAGCGACTGATGTTTTCCATCTTCTTCATCAGACGAATGCTCCTCTGAAACACGCTGCAGACGAATCAGAACCCACAGTCAACTCTAAATAATCCTTTCAGGGTTAAAACATTTAATCTTCACCATCAGAGGGGGTTAGGGTTAGAGGGGGTGGTGAGGGGTTTAGGGTTAGAGGGGGTGGTGAGGAGTTTAGGGTTAGAGGGGGGTGGTGAGGGGTTAGGGTTAGAGGGGGTGGTGAGGGGTTTAGGGTTAGAGGGGGGTGGTGAGGGGTTTAGGGTTAGAGGGGGGTGGTGAGGGGGTTAGGGTTAGAGGGGGGTGGTGAGGAGTTTAGGGTTAGAGGGGGTGGTGAGGGGTTAGGGTTAGAGGGGGTGGTGAGGGGTTTAGGGTTAGAGGGGGTGGTGAGGGGTTAGGGTTAGAGGGGGGTGGTGAGGGGTTTAGGGTTAGAGAGCGCTCAGGGGCCTACCCGTTCAGACAGGTGTCTGTCACACTGTAGGGTTAGTTTCTGTAGTCTCTATATTAAAAGTTCAGGGGCCTTATGTATAAACGGCGTGCCCACCAATATGTTGAGTACGCTGTACGTGTTTCACGCAAACATCAGAAAGTATAAAAATCAGCCCAACGTGACAACACCTTAGCCACTCAATTTACTGTTTTACAAAGTGGGATGAATGAAAACATGTTTTTCATAGTTTGAGGAAAGGGTTAGGGTCAATTAAGTTTTCTCTACTTTTGTGACATGTTAGTTATATTCATGACCCAAAGGGTTAGGGTAAGGTAAGCCTGTAGCACGGTGCACAGTGTGGCAAACCAACCCAGTGTGACTACAGAACCTGACTCGGTGCCGGACACCGACCCAAACGCAGCTAGCACCGTTGGGATACACAAAACCTGAAACAAGGCGGGAAGTTGAGGTTAATGTTTCTCCTCATTTTTTAACAAAACGTTTTAATGTGACGTATTCCAGGAATGTCATTCTTTTCTTATTCGCTGCATATATCTTTCATATCTTTCCTTGTCTTTACAGTCAGTCTGTGATTCAGCACAGCGTTAACAAGGACGCCACCTGACTGGCGCCCCTCGGCAGTCAAAGCCCGGGGAGTAGTGGATTCAGTGGTCAGCTGATTTGGAGACATTGGCCTCAGATACAGCGTCAAATACCCGAGAAACAAAACACAGAATAAAATGTGTTTTCTGTCCTCAGTCACAAACACGTGAACTTCACAGGCTGAAATCTTCTTACTGTAGCTGATATTAGCAGCCACGTTTTACAACCTCTCTTCCTGCAGGACTCAGGACTGTGGATTAACATGTTGGTGACTTTTTAACAAGAAACAAAGGAACTGATCAATGATTTAAGTCTCCCTCTCAGACAGGCTCTGGAGGACAGGATATTATAAACTGCTGCTGAAGACCACAGTGTTCAATTCTGCATCAATCAAACATTTATGTCTTTCTTCATCTAGATATTTGTAATTGTCACATTGAATGTATTGCAATCATCTTTTCAAACTCAAAATCTGATTTTCAGAATAGGAATAAGAGTTATAATAGTTTTAATAGGAATTTGACGTGGAGCGCTATTGCCATCTAGTGTTAGAATATCCATGAATATGTAACCTTCATAATTATACATTTAGACGTGTTAGACAATTTATTTTCCTACTTTATTAATATGTCTTATTAAGAATGTTGACTGTATAACATGTTTTTGTTCACCTACAGGCTGGGAGTAACTGAGGATGTTCCCAGATGGTGTTATTTTCATCTCAACATGAATCTGATAGAAATGTTTGTCTAAATATATGACGTGAACCTACATCAACATAGATCTGATAGAAATAATATTGAAATGAATGTATGGTGACGTATATATGTTTAGATTCTTATTCTTAATCTTATTGAGTAAACTCGGTTTAATTTAAACAATTGTCCTCCGGTCAGAGTGGGAGTCACCCTTCTCCTGCAGGCCCCCCTTCTTCGCCCGCAGCTGATAAGAGTTCACACTCAGCTCAGATTTCCAGTTTTTTTAGTTTGGAAAAGTTTTCAAGAGCTTCAGCTTCTTTCTCGCTTCTCTTCGGACTTCAGTCCAAATCACTTCTTTTAAGTTTGTGCCGTAGAGACGAATCTCTGCCGTACTTTTATTTTCAACGCACAATTTTTAAAAACATCAATTCTTTCTGGCTCAAGCAAGGCTTTTGAACTTTCTTCTCCAAAGTCTTTGCTCTTCAATTTTGAATGCCAATTCCTTTGGATTCATTGAGATGGCCATCCAGTTAATCTGAATTGGAAATGGACGTATCAAAAGACACTTTAATATTTTTCCTGTTGGATCCTCTTGGAGCGTCTGTGACGACGGCTGAACCGATGTACAATCTCCATCCCAGCTGCACACTCCAACCGAGGTGTCAAGGCATCTATTCTGGCCCGTGGGCCTCTCTGGGCCTGAAAAGAATCACTTGCCAGAGACTGAAACGCGGGACCAGTAGGGGGAGTTCAATTGAACACATCTCACAGTAAGACTGCTGTTTGCTGGTGTTGGAAGATTAAGTCACGAGTCGTGTCTATTCCGAGCCCTCCTTTAAATCCAAATAGAATCCCAAAATTTGTTTATCAACTTTTTCCCTTTTTTGATGATTTGCTGATTAAGTCATTCAAACAATACCGCATCTTATCTCATTACTAAATATATAATGTCCCCATATGTTATAATTGCATTATCCCGATAATAATCATATTCTTTATCTGTTTCATCTATACATTATTGTTTACCCTTTTTATTTTAAATTTTACACATTAAATTCAAGACTTTGTCTGTGTGTTTTCTTGTTTAACATTTCCACAACTTACTTCTTTCAAGATATGAAACTGACTGATTAATTAATTAACTTATACCGTTAAAGTTATTTTCTTCCTTTAACAGGTAGTGGTGCCCCCTTCTAAATCCGAGGTTAAATAAAGATATAACATCTTAATAAATTAATTATGCTACATTACGTTCCGTTTACAATGTTATTTGGCCCGTAGAACGCAGCATGTGGCGGATTTACAGTAATTTGCATTTTCACATCAAACTGGAGTTTGGTCTTTTAGAAAAGAAATTAATCAATAGATGAAATAAACAAATAAAATTTGATTATTTCAAGGAAGTAAAAAATAAAGAGAACATAAAAATGTAAACGCATGCAGGTTAAAAAAAACATTTGAATCAAAAGCAGAAGGGGAAGATTAAATTAGCAGTTTAAACATTTAGATTAATTAAATAAATAAATATGTTATTGAAAGTTATTGTTTGTTAAATTGGAAATAAACGGGTAGTAAAGAGTAGAGATCACTTAATAAATAAGTTTAAAAAATCAGACGGAAGTCATTAAAGCTTGAAATGGAAGGAGAGGCAGACTGACAGGAAGTGGAAACCAAAAGAAAAAAACATCCCAAAAAGTGAATTGTGCACGAGTTGATCATCAGCCGGTCAGGTGCTGCAGGAACTTCAAAAAGACTCTTTGACTGTTTATGTTTCATGATTTGAATGTTTGTTATTCTCTATTGCGAGATACATTTAATTTATTAGGACGGGGGAGAGGACAGGCTTTTTGAATTGATGGATTGATGGATGGATGGATTGATTGATGGATGGATGGATGGATTGGTTGGTTGATTGATTGGTTGGTTGATGGATGGATGGATGGATGGATGGATGGATGGATGGATGGATTGATGGATTGATTGATTGATAGATTGATAGATTGATGGATTGATGGATGGATGGATGGATTGATTGATAGATTGATGGATTGCTTTGCTGAAGTGCTCATGATGGATAGGCTGGGTCTTTGTAATATAGCAATAAGTAAGGTCTTTGACCTGCTTTTTGTTAAGTGTCTCGAGATAACACTTGTTATGAGTTGATGCTATGCAAATAAAAATTGATTGATTGATTGATTGGTTTGTTGATTGATTGATGGATAGATGGATGGCTGGATGGATGGATGGATGGATGGATGAATGGACGGACTGACTGACTGACTGACTGACTGACTGACTGATATACTTGGGTATATCTTCACGAGTGGGTAAGTTAGAATAAGGTGAGAGGTTTGTTAAAAGTAGTTTAGAGTTTGAACGGGTGTAAATAGATTTATTGAAATGGAGAAATATGAAAATGTGGTTAAAACACAAAATACATTTAAAGGTTGGCTGAAGGCATTCATTAATTCAATTTGTATTTAGCCTTGCATGTTGGAGGTGTATGGTTTAAATTAAGCACATTTTAACTTGTGGGCGCTGGTGGCTCAGTGGTTTGTGCACGCGCCCCATGTACAGAGGCTTTAGTCCTCCAAGCGGGCGGTCCAGGTTCAAATCCTGCCTGTGGTTCCTGTCCTGCATGTCATTCCCCTCTCTCTCTCTCTCTGATCTCTGACTCTATCATC